CAGGTTTCAGCTGAGCTGCGAGAAAAGACAGAAGAAGAAGACAAGAGACGAACTACGTCCTAATATTTAGTCACTGAAAACCTTATGAATATCAGTGGAACAATGTCAGCACCAGAATATTGAATATTTAAACATGATGAAGAACACCAGAATATTGACAGATTTAGTGCCGGATGATGAGTCCTTCAGGCAGGGAGGCAAATACAACTGGGGAAGAACTGCATCCTGAAAGTATCAGTTGACTATGATGACACGAATGGAGTAAAGCTTTTGGGGCTTTCATTTGCTGATGGGGAACAACTCAGAATGAAGAGAAACAGCTGTAAAGATCCATTAATAGTCAGAATATGGAATGCACAAAGTATGAATCTAGGAAAATTACAAGTCATCAAAAATGAAATGGAACGCATAAACATCGATATCCTAGACATTAGTCAGCTGACACAGAATGACACTGGCCATTCTGAATCTGACAATCAAATGGTTTACTATGCCAGAATGACAAATTGAGGGGGAACAGCTTCACATTCATCATCAAAAACAACATACCAAGATCTGTCATCAAGTACAAAACTGTCTGTGATACGATAATATCTATTATTCAAATTTATGAACCAACCACTAAGGTCAGTGATGATGAAACTATATCAGTTTCTTCAATCTGAAATTGATCAAACATGTAGTCAAGATGTATTGATAATTGCTGGCAACTGAAATGCAAAGGCTGGAAACAAAGAGGAAGGAACACTAGTTGGAAAATATGGCCTTGGTGATAGAAATGATGCTGGAGATCACATGACAATTTTTGCAAGACCAATAATTTGTATATTGCAAATACCTTTTGTAAACAACATAAAAGACAATTAATTATATACATGGACCTCGCCAGATGGAATACATAGAAATCAATTGCCTACTTCTGTGGAAAAAGACGGTGAAAAAGTTCCATATCATCAGCCAAAATAAGGCAGGGGCAGACTGAAACATACCATCAATTGCTCATATGTAACCTCAGGCTGAAGCCAAAGAAAATTACAACAAGTCCACAAGAGGCAAAATATAACCTTGAATCTATCCCACCTAAATTTAGAGATCATCTGAAGAACAGATTTGATGCATTAACACTAAAGACCGAAGACAGAAGAGTTGTGAGATGATGTCAAGAACATCATACAGGAAGAAAGCAAAAGGTCATTAAGAAAACAAGAAAAAAGGAAAAGGCCAAAATGGATGTCAGAAGACATCTGATACTTGCTCTCCAGTGTAGATAGAGATGCTAAAGGAAATGGAAGGAATGAGGAGGTGAAAGAGCTGAACAGAAATTTTCAAAAGGCAGCTCTAGAAGACAAAGTCAAATATTGTAATGAACTTTGCAAACACCTGGAGTGAGAAAACCAAAAGGGTAGAACATGCTCAGCATTCCTCAAGCTGAGGGAACTGAAGAAAAAATTAAAGTCTCTCTTGCAATATTGAAGGATTCTATGGACAAAATATTGAATGATGCAGAAAGTATCAAAAGATGGAAAGAATACACAGAGTCACTGTATCAGCAAGAGATGGTTGATGTTCAGCCATTTCAGAGGTAGCATATGAGCAAGAGCCAATGATACTGTAGGAAGAAATCCAAGGTGCATTGAAGGCATTAGCAAAGAACAGGGTCCAGGAATTGATAGAATACAAATTGAAATCATTCAACAAAGTAATGCAGCACTGGAGGTACTCACTTATATATGCCAAGAAATTTGGAAGACAACTACCTGACCAACTGACTGGAAGAGATCCATACTTCTGCCCATTCCAAACAGAGGTGACTCAACAGAATGTGGAAATCATTGGACAGTATCATTGCTATCTCAAAATTTTGCTAAAAATAATTTAAAAAACAATTGCAACTGTACATTGACAGAGAACATCCAGAGGTTCAAGTCACATTCAGAAGAGGATGTGGAACAAGGGATATCATTTGCTGACATCAGATGGATCTTGGTTGAAAGCAGAGAATATGAGAAAGATGTTTACCTGTGCTTTATTGATTATATAAAGACTTTCGATTGTGTGGATCATGACAAGCTATGGACAACACTGCAGAGAATGAGTATTCCAGAACACTTAATTGTGCTCAAGAAGAACCTGTATAGAGACCAAGAGGCAGTTGTTCAAACAGAACAAGGAAACACTGAATTGTTTAAAATTAGGAAAGGTGTGCAACAGGGTTGTATTCTTTCACCATACTTATTCAAGTTGTACGTTGAGCAAATAATCCTAGAAGTTATATTATCTGCAGAAAAATGTGTCATCAGGATTAGAGGAAGACTGTTAACAGATGATACACCCTGAATTGCTGAAAGTGAAGAGGACTTAAAAGACTTAATGTTGAAGATCAAAGACTACAACCTTCAGTCTGGGTTGCACCTCAATGTAAAGAAAACAAAAATCCTTACCTCTAGACCAATAAATAACTTTCATATAAATGGTGAAAAGATAGAACCTGTTAAAGGCTTCATTTTGCTCAAAACAACTATTAACACACATAGAAGCAGCATTCAAGAAATCAAATGATGGTTAAAAGAGATGGGGCTAAAAGTCTTTGATACAACAGTGAGTAATTGTTATCATGACTAATTGTAACTGTCACAAGTGTAAAGGTAGAAGTTTCGTAACAAAAACGGGGAGTAGTCAATCTTACAGTTCAGAAACAAAGTACCCTAGGACCATCAAGGGAAAAGAGCACAAGCGGAATATGAGACCTTATCCAGAGAAGCAGCAACACCAGAAATGGAGGCAGAGATGGAGACATGGAGAGAGGGAGCAGATGAGGACTCTAGACTATTCATGGGAAGAGAAGGACTAAGAACTGGTGGCCAGGAAGAAGACTTGCAGAATGTGCCCTTTGGGGGGTATAAATTATTATATATATATATGAGTGTTTAAAAAAAAAAAAGAGCTAAAGTGAACAGAGAGAAATACTGTTATCTTATGGTACATGGAGGGGATTATAATCATTGTAATGAAACAAGGTGTAAGATTTATTGAATATAAAACTGATGATCTACCCCATAAACTTTCACTCAATTCACAATAAAAACTTTAAAAAAAATAAAAATAAAATGACGTAGTGAATTAGGCAAATCTGCTGCACAAGAGCTCTTTAGAATGTTCAAAAATAAAAATGTCAATTTGAGGATTAAGGTGCACTTAACTCAAGCCATGGTATTTTCAATAACTTCATATGCTTTGTAAAAGCTGAACAATGAATAAGGAATGATGCCTTTGAACTATGGTGTTGGAGGAGAATTATGGACTGCCAAAAGAACAAACATGTCTGTGTTGGAAGAAGTACAGCCATACTTTGGATATATTGTCAGGAGGGACTAGTTCCTGGAGAAGGATATCATGTTTGGTAAAATGGAGGTCAGAGAAAAAGAGGAAGACCCCCAACGAGGCAGATTGGCACAGTGGTAGCAGTGATAGGCTCAAATGTAGCAACAATTGTGAGGTTGGTGAAGGACTGGGTAGTGTTTCATTCTGTTGTGCAGAGGGTTTCTACTAGTTGGTGCTGACTCCATGGCGTCTAACAACAATAACAATTCATCTTAGGGACTGTCTTAGGTGCTAGAGACACAACAAGGAACAAAACAGGCAAAGTCACTGTCATTACAGCTTATAGTCTAAGGAGAGAAAAACAACAGATGAACACATAGGTAAGCAAATATGTTGTATGTCAGATAATAAATCCTACGGAGAAAAGTAAAGCTGCATAAGGGGAACAGGAATGCAAGGCAGAGAGGCAGGTTTTGTTATCTTATTGTAAGTGGTCTACCAAGATTGTTGGAGTCCTGGGCTGGCACTGTAGGATGAGCACTCGACTGCAAGGTCGGTTTGAACCTAATGTTGGTGGTTCAAAGTCACCACCCACTCCTCGAACTGACTCTATGGCACTTAACAAGAACACCACCAACATTATTAATAGCAAAAATGTATTGACATTTACAAACACCCAATATGAAATTAAGAGCTCTGGTAGCTTATGAGTTGGGCTGCTAACTACAGGGTCAGCAGTTTAAATCTATCGGCCACTCCTCCAGAGAAAAATGAGACTTTCTGCTAGTGTAAAGATTCAAAGCCTCGGAAACTCTATACCGGGTAGCTATGAGTCAGAAACAACTCCATGGCACATAATTACCACCACCACCACCAATATGAAAGTACTCTCATGAAAATATTCGTAAATTAAAAATGTCACTTGTAAAGCCTAGTAGAATACTTTCACTACAGTCCAAGATTATGAATCCATGTTGGCATTGCAGACACATGACTAGCAGAAATAAAAGTTGGATTATTTTACTTATCCCCCACACTCCCCTGGATACGGGAGGTGTGGTTGGCCTCCACCCATGTACACCTCCAGTAAAGCCCTCACTCTCCCAGTGGCTGTAACCACATAGAGGTGAGCATTGCAGTTGTGAGTCCCATTATAGTGAGTAGGGAGCTATCCACACCAAGATGGTGGACTGGCTTAGCATGAGCCCTACTCCAAATCTGCAGAGCCACCCTTGGCCAGCCCATAATCTCTGGCTAATACACTGGATTTCAATACTAGTACATTACCCAGAGATGATATTAAATTTACTAATACTTTTAAATAATATTGGCCTCTGTGTTCTCATTCTTTTTCTAGTTATTTTTAATACCTTATGAATTTGATGATTTACAAAAAGATTTCATGTGTTATTTCATTTGCTTGTCAAAATAACCTTGACAAAAGACTATGTAGACAGTATTACTTCTATCTTAATTATCCATTTAAGTTTGTGGCACTGTAAGATAAGCACTGGACCACAAGGTCAGTTTGAACAGCAAAGTCAGTGATGCACACTCACCAGCTGTTCCTCAGGAACCCTACACAGGGTTGCTATGAGTCAGAACTGACTCAACAGCACTTAACAACAATGACAACATCACGGTTTTAAACATATTAGTCAGTATGCTTCTTCACATACCTTTTCTTTCATTGGTTTTATCTCCACTTCATCTACCTTTTTCTCAAGTTGATTTTCAAGCTTTTTAATTTTCTTTTGAAGTTCTTCAATTAAATTTTGTTTATTATCTTGCAAAAGTTTGCCCTGAAATATATAAGATGTCATCTTTACATTTTAGGGGAAAAAAACCAACAAAATACACAATTAGCATTTCATTTATAGAAACCTCCTGAGGCTATAGCTAACTATACTTTTAAAATGACACTATTCATATATAAATATACAAATGGTAGCAGTTAATTATTGTTGTTAAATGTCATCAAGTCACTTCTGAATCATAGCAAAGCTGTATAGGGTTTCTGAGGAGTTGCTGGTGAGTTTGAACCGCCGACCTTGTGGTCAAGTGCTTATCTTACAGCACCACACCAGGACTCCATGTATTTTAATAAGATATGATATATAAATATAACAGAATTCACTGACATAGTTAACTACATTAGTCAGAATGATATGAAAGCCAGTATCAGCAAACAATACATATACATTTTTAAAAAGGAAATAAAGCACTACCTATAAATTATATACCAAAAATTATCAGAATTAAATATAAAATTACCTGTAATCCACTGGTTAGTCTTTTAATTTGCCTTTTCAGTTCATCATTCTCTTGATCGAGTCCATCTTTATCTCTAAGTATTTTAGTATAGGCTTTTTGCTTTTTTTGTAGTTCATTGTTTAAGTCATTCAAATTATCAGCTAGTGTATTTTCTCTGTTCTTACTTGTTTTAAGAGCGTCTTTTAATTTTAGAAGATTTTCACTTAAATCTTCAATTTGTGACTAATAAAGAAGAGAGAAAGATTATATTTATGAGACTTCAAGTATCAATGCTAATAGCAACATAAGACAGAAAATAAATAACCCTGAAGTTGTTGTTGTTAGGTGCCATCGAGTTGGTACCTATTCATAGCAACCTGATGCACAGCAGAACAAAACACTGCCCAATCCTGGGCCAACCTTACTACCGTTGCCACGCTTGAGTTCATCGATGCTGCCACTTGGCTAATCCATCTTATTGGGGTCTTCCTCTTTTTCTCTGACCCTCCACCTTACCAAACATCATATCCTTCTCCAGTGACTGGTCCCTCCTGACAATATGTCTGAAGTGTGAGAGACAAAGTTTGGCCATCTTGGCCTCCAAGGAGCACTCTGGCAGCACTTCTTCCAAAATGGATCTATTGGTTCTTTTGGCAGCCCATGGCACTTTCAATATTCTCCTCCAACACCGTAACTCAAAAGCATCAATTCTTCTACAGTCTTCCTTATTCACTGTCCAGCTTTCGCATGCATATGAGGTCATTGAAAATACCACAGAAATATATATGTAGTTTGTGATTTTGTTTTCTCTTGTACTTAAAATTTTAGCATGAAATTTCCTTTTTTACCAGTATTAATGTTATTTCAGAATCACAGCAACTCACAAGCCACCACAGTATGACAAACTGACAGACGAGTTGTAAAGTACCGTTGGGTAGATTATGACACATAGTGACTCCATGTGATAGACTTGAACTTCCCCATAGAGTTTGCTACACTGTAATCTTTATGGAAACAGAGAACCTGTTCTTTCTCACATGGAGCAACTTGGTGGGTTTGAACCAAGCTGTCAGTTAACAGCTAAGTACTCAACTGTTATGCCACCAGGGCTCCTTTTACTGGTACTATAAAGGTGTGGTGCTGTGGGCTAATGTGCTGGAATGCAAAGTTGGTTTGAACCACAGGGTCAATGGTTCAAAATCACCAGCCACTCCTTGGAAGCCATATACAGGGTCGCTCTGGGTAGGAATCAACTAGACAGCACTTAACAACAACCACAACAACATAAAATCAAAATCCCATTGCCACTGAATCCTTCTGACTCATGTTGTCAGGTGCTGTTGAGTAGGTTCTGACCTATAGCGACCCTATTAACAAAAGAGCAAAACACCTGCTGGTCCTGTGCCATCCTCACAATTGCATCTACACTTGAGCCCATTGCTGCTGCTACTGTGCCAATTCATTTTGTTGTGTGTCTCCCACATTTTAGCTGACCATCCACTTTACCAAGCATGATGTTCCCACTGATGATATGTCCAAATTATGAGGGATGAAGTCTGATCATCTTAGCTTCCAAAGAGCATTCTGGTTGTACTTCACAGATATGTTTGTTCTTCTGGTAGCCCATGGTACCTTTAATATTCTTCTCCAACACCATAACTCAACTGCATCAATTCTTCTACTTCTTTATACATGGTCCAACTTCACATGCATATGAGGTTAGTTAAAATATCAAGGCTTGGGTCAGGCATACTTTAGTTCTCAAACTGACATCTTTGTTCTTGAACAGCTTAAAGAGGTCTTGTTCAACAATTTTGCTTAGTGCAACAAGTCCTTTCATTTCCTGACTGTTGCTTCCATGAGTGCTGATGGTGGATCCAAGCAAAATGAAATCTTTTGACAACTTTAATCTTTTCTCAATGTATTTATTGTTATGTTATTTATTGCTCCAGTGGTGAGATTTTTTTTTTTCTTTATGTTGAGTTACAACCCATACCAAAGGCTGTGGTCTCCAATCTAAAATATTTAAGTATTTTAAGTCCTCTTCACTTTCAGCAAGCAAGGTTGTATCATCTGTGTACCATAAACTATTAATGAGTCTTCATGTAATCCTGATAGCATGTTCTTCTTCATATAATTTAGCTTCTCGGGTTATTTACACAGCATGCAGATTGAATAAGTATGGTGAAAAATACAACCAGGACTCACACCTTTCCTGATTTTAAACCATTTATTTAGTGTTCCCTTGTTCTGTTCAAACAACTGCCTATTAGTCTATGTACAGATTCTTCATGAGCACAATTAAGTGTTCCAGAACTTTCATTCTCTGCAATGTTGTCCTTAGTTTGTCATAATACACAGTCAAAATCTTCTGCACAATTAAATAAAGCACAAGTAAACATCATTCTGGTATTCTCCGCTTTTAGCCAAGATCCATTTGATCTCAGCAATGATATCCCTCATGCCATGTCCTCTTCTTAATCCGGCTTAAACCTTTGGAAGTACTTTGTCAACTAATGGTTGCAATGTTTTCGTATTATCTTTAGAGAAATTTTATTTGCATGTGATTTAATGATATTGTCCGATGTTTTCTGCATTCTACTGGGATTCTCTCTTTGAAAAAGGCACATATATGGATCTCTTCCAATCATTTGGTAGCTGCCTTCCAATTTTCTTGGCATAGTTGTGTGAGGGCCTCCCATGCTACATTAGTTTGTTGAAAGATTTCTATTTGTATTCTATCAATTCCCAGAGCCTAGTTCTTTGCAAATGTCTTCCGTGCACCTTGGACTTCACCTTTCAGTACCATTGGCTCTTGATAATATGCTACCTCTTGAAATGGTTGAACATCAACTATTTCTTTTTGGTATAGTGCCTCTATGTAATCCTGCCATCTTGTTTTGATGATTTCTACATTATTAAATATTTTGCCTAAAGAAACCTTCAATATTTCAAGCCAAGACTTGAATTTTTTCTATATTTCTTTCAGTTTGAGAAATGCTGAGCATGTCCCTTTTGGTTTTCTAACTCCAGATGTTTGCACATTTCATTACAATATATCACTTAGTCTTCTCAAACTGCCCTCTGAAATTTTGTGTTCAGCTTTTTTACCTCCTCATTTGTTTCATTTCCTTTGCATCTCTATGCTGGAGAAAAAGTTTCAGAGTCTCTTCTGACATCCATTTTGGTCTTTTCTTTCATTCTTTCTTGTCTTTTTAATGACCTTATGCTTTCTTTTGTTTGCTCTTGACCCCATTCCACACTCTTCTGTATTCAATCATTAGTGCCTAAGGCATCAAATCTCTTCTTCTGATGGCATCTAAACTCAGGTGGGATTTCTTATAGTCTTGTTTGAATTTTCGTCAGCATCAGCCTGACCTTGCATATTAGCTATTGATGGTCTGTTTCCACATTCTGCCCCGTCCTTGTTTTGGCTAATGATATGGAGTTTTCACAGTTGCTTTCCACAGATATAGTCAATGTGATTTACATGTACTCCATCTGGTGAGTTCCATGTGTATAATTGTCTTTTATGTTGTTCAAAAAAGGTAACTGCAATGAAAAAAATCATTGTTGCTGTTGCTGTTGTTATGTGCCATTGAGTTGGTGCCGACTCATAGCGATGTTATGCACAACAGAATGAAACACTGCCTGGTCCTGGGCTAACCTCACAATTGTTGCCACACTTGAGCCCATTGATGCTGCCACTTTGCCAACCCATCTTGATGCGGGTTTCCTCTTTTTTTCTGACCCTCCACCTTACCAAACATGATATCCTTCTCCAGCAAATGGTCCCTCCTGACAATATGTCTGAAGTATGAGACACGAAATTTGGCCATCCTGGGCTCCAAGGAGCACGCTGGCTGCACTTCTTCCAACACAGATCTGTTGGTTCTTTTGGCAGCCCATGGTACTTTAAATATTGTCCTCCAACACCATAAATCAAAAGCATCAATTCTTCTATGGTCTTCCTTATTCACTGTTCAGCTTTTGCATGCATATGAGGTTAATAAAATACAATGACTTGGTCAGGTACACCACAGTTCTCAAGCTGACATCTTTGCTCTTCAAAATTTTAAAAAGGTCTTGTGCAACAGATTTGCCTAATGCAATAACTCTTTTGATTTCTTGGCTGCTGCTTCCATGAGTGTTGATGGTTGATCCAAAAAGAATGAAGTCCTTGACAGTTACAATCTTTTCTCCCTTGATGAGAATGTGGTTTATTGGTCTAGTGGTGAGGATTTTTGTTCTCTTTACTTTGAGATGCAATCCATACCGAAGGCTGTGATCTTTGATCTTCATCAGTATTTAAATCCTCTTCACTTTCAGCAAGCAAGTTTATATCATCTGCATATTGCAGCTTGTTAATAAGTATGGTGAAAGAACACAACCTTGAAGCACATCTTTCTTCATTTAAACCATTCAGTGTTTCCACGTTCTGTACGAACAATTGCCTCTTAGTCCATGTACAGATTCCTCATGAGCACAATTAAGTGTTCCGGAAGACTCATATTTCACAATGTTGTCTATAGCTTGTCATGATCTACACAATCTAAAACCTCTGCAAAGTCAATAAAGCACAGGTAAACATCTTTCTTGCATTCTGTGCTTCCAACCAACATCCATCAGACATCAGCAATAATATCTCTTGTTCCATGTCCTCTTCTGAATCCGATTTGAACCTCTGGAAGTTCTCTGTCAATGTATGCTTGCAGCCGTTTCTGTATTACCTATAGTAAAACTTTACTCACATGGTATATCAAAGACATTGTCTGATGATTTCCACATTCCGTTAGGTCATCTCTCTTTGGAACGGGCACAAACATGGATCTCCTCCAGTCACTTGGCCAAATAGTTGTCTTCCAAATTTCTTGGCATAGACGAGTGCCTCCTGTGCCACCTCAGTTTGCTGAAAGATTTCAATTTTTATTCCATCAATTCTTCGTGTCTTCAATGCACTTTAGACTTCTTCCTTCAGTATCATTGGCTCTTGATCATATGCTACCTCTTGAAACAGTTGAACATCAACTATTTCCTTTTTGTACAGTGACTATGGGTATTCCTTCCATCTTCTTGTGATACTTTCTGCATCATTCAATAATTTGACCAGAGAATGCTTTAACAATGAAAGTTGAGGTTTGAATTTTTTCTTCAGTTCCTCCAGCTTGAGAAATGCTGAGTGTGTTCTTCCCTTTTGGTTTTCTAACTCCAGATCTTTACACATTTCTTTGTAATATTTGACTTTGTCTTCTCTAGCTGAATTTTGAAATTTTCTTTTCAGCTCTTGTACCTCCTCGTTTCTTCCATTTGATTTATCATCTCCATGCTGGAGAGCAAGTTTCAGTGTCTCTTCTGACATCCATTTTGAACTTTTCCTTCTTTCTTGGCTTCTTAAGGACTTTTTGCTTTCTTCCTGTAAGATTTTCTTGATGTCATCCCACAACTCTTCTGGTCTTCAGTCTTTAGTGTTCAATGTATCAAATCTGCTCTTCAGATGATCTCTAACTTCAGGTCGGATATATTCAAGGTCATATTTTGGCTTTTGGGGACTTGTTTTCATATTTTTCAGCTTCAGTTTGAATTTGCATATGAGCAACTGATGGTCTGTTCCATAGTCTGCCCTTGGCCTTATTTTCACTGATGATATGGAGCTTTTCCACCGTCCCTTTCTACAGATTTAGTCAATTTGATTTCTGTGTGTTCCATCTGGTGAGGTCCATATTTATAATTGTCTGTTATGCTGTCAAAAGAAGGTATTTGAAAGGAACAAATCATTGGTTTTGCAGAATTCTATCATGCGATCTCCAGCATCATTTCTATCACCAAGGCCATATTTTCCAACTACTGATCCTTCCTCTTTGTTCCCAATTTTGCATTCCAATCACCAGTAATGAGCAATACATCTTGCTTGCATGTTCAATCAATTTCAGATTGAAGAAGTTGGTAGAATTCTTCTATTATATCCTCACTGGCTTTAGTGGTTGGTGTGTAAATTTGAATAATAGTGGTATTAACTGGTCTTTCTGTAAGCTTATAGATATTATCCTGTCACAGACAGCGTTGGGCCTCCTAACTGATCTTGGTAAGTTCTTTTTGACGGTGAATGCTACACCATTCCTCTTTAATTTGTCATTTCCAGCATAGTAAACCATGTGTTTGTCAGATTCAAAATGACCAATTTCAGTCCATTTCTGCTCACTGATGCCTAAGATACTGGTGTTTATGCATTCAATTTCATTTTTGACAATTTCCAATTTTCCTAGATTCACACTTCGTACATTGCATCTTCTGATTATCAATGGATGTTTACAGCACTTTGTCTATATTTTGAGTTGAACCACATAAGCAAAAGAAGGTCCCGAGGGCCTTAATTCCAAGGGCTTTACTCCATTCGTGTCATCATAGTCAACTCTACTTTGAGGAGGCAGCTCTTCCCCAGTCAAATTTTGAGTGCTTTCCAGGCTGAGGGGCTCATTTTCTGGCACTACATTTGGCATTGTTTCTCTGCGATTCATAAAGTTTTCAGTGACTAAATATTTGGAAGTAGTTCATCACTCCTTCTTCCTAGTCTGTCTTTGTGTGGAAGCTCATTTGAAACCTGTCCACTGTGGTTGACCCTGCTGGTATTTAAAATACCCATGGCTTCTAGAATCACAGCAATCCATAAGCCACCACAGTATGACAAACTGACAGGTTTTGGAAAAATCACTGGTCTTGCAAAATTCTATCATGTGATCCCCAGCATCATTTCTATCACCAAGTCCATATTTTCCAACAACTAATCCTGCCTCTTCGTTTCCAACCTTTGTATTCCAATTGCCATTAGTTATCAATACATCCTGATTGCATGTTTGATCAATTACAAACTGGAGAAGCTGGCAGAATTCTTCAATTTCATCATCATTGGCTTTAGGGGTTGGTGCATAAATATGAATAATAGTCACATTCATTGGTCTTTCCTATAGGCATATGGATATTATCCTGTCACAGACAGAATTATACTCAAAGACAAATCTTGAAATACCCTTTTTTGATGATGAATGCAACAGCATTCCTTTTCAATCTGTCATTCTCAGCATAGTAAACCATGTGATTGTAAGATTCAAAATGGCCAATGTGAGTCCATTTCAGCTTACTAATGCCTATGTTATCCATGTTAATGAGTTCCTTTTAATTTTTGTCAACTTGCAATTTTCCTAGATTCATACATTCCATGTTCCAATTATTTATGGATGTTTGTAGCTGTTTCTACTCATTTTGAGTTGTAATCCATCAGCAAATGAAGGTCCTGAAAGCTTTACACCATTTGTACCATCATGGCAAACTCCACTTTGAGGTGGTAGCTCTTCCCCAGTCATATTTTGCGTGCCTTCCAACCTTAAGGCCTCCTCTTCAGCTACTATATCTGAAACTATTGTGGTGCTCTTCATCATGTTTCAACATTTAATATTCTGGTGCTATCTCACAGTGTTTCACAACTATTTATAAGGTTTTCAGTGGCTAAACATTCTGAAGTACTTTGCTTCTCCTTCTTCTGAAACTGTGTAAAACTGGAAGTTCAGGTAAAACCTGTCTACCATGGATGACCCTATTCAAAATACTGGTAGCAAAACTACTAGCATCAGAGCAACATGCAAACCACCACAGTGGGACAAACTGACAGATGAGCGCTGGCATGACTCACAGAAAGCATAACAATTTTGAGGAAATCCTGTCCTTACGTTTCAAAATATTTCTAATTTAGTAGTGGCAAAGAACACATACACGTAAAACAATTGAGAGTAATGAGTATATCAAAATAAAACATAATAAAGTAGATTTTTTTTCATTTTATTCAGAAAATGCAATATAAAACTTCATTTTAAAATTTTTGAAAATAATAATGAAATATATACATTTTGGGGGAAAAAAGTTTAAAACACCAAATTTAATGATGAGATAAAAAATACGTTGTAAAAAAAGAAATATTTAGAAAGGCTTCATAGGCAGATGGTAATAGAGATAAAATGTTTCAAGGACTACATGATTTTCATAAACTATTTCAGGGAGAAAAAATGGAAAGTCAAATAATTCAAATTATGGACTTGAAAAACTTACATACACAATTCTCACAAGGGAAAAGGAAATAAATCTACACATCTATGCTGGGGGCTGATGAGGGTAGAGGACAGCTTCGATTTGCCGCTTGACACAGTTCTGGTAAATTGTGGAGTGGTCTGGCAAAACACATAGCTCTCAGAAGTTGCTTTCTACCTTCTCTATAGAGTAATCTTAATTTTACTTATAAAAATATATAATTTGGCAACATTCACAGCTTTTCACTATGAGTTCTACAAACCTTAGGAAAAAACTAGCTTAGCAGCAATTGCTTTCAGCCTTGGTGGATTGAATACAAAGAGAAATGGTGTAAATTACTCCCTTTCATTAGAAAACCTAAGTAACTGCATTTGTGAGGCCACAAAAGCAAATAGCATATTAGAGTCAAGCTAACCTACCCCCATAGGCCTCACCACATTCAGTCACTAGCTAGAACTCACAAACCCCTACATACAGACACCTGTGTAAACAAGTAGACAATAATGAACTTAAGTGAAGGATAGTTTTGACTTAATAATCTAAACTTCTTGCAGCAGGTAGCCAGGTTGGGCTTTATGCCACATAGCTTCCAAGTGATTTAATGAATACCTTTTTTATGAAAATAATAGCACATTATGTAGGATAGAAAGTTTATAATCCTTTAGTAGAAACAAGAAGAAACAGTTTTATCTCATACTGGGAAAGAACATGAAGGTCAGTCTGAACATCACAGAGTATTCTTGTTAAGGTTGTCTAAGGACCAGGTGCAAGAATGTTGTGACTAACTGTGTAATAATTCAAGAAATGATAAAAGTGTCAATGCATGTACTGTGTAATTTTAAGTATAAAAAATAAAGACTTGCTGAGCTGGGCTGGCAGAACTATCAGAAAGCAGAAGGGGCTGGCAGAAGGAACTGGGAGAGAACAGAGAAAGAGGAAAGCAGAGGCAGAAGGAACTGGCAGAGAATGGAGAGAAAGAGCAGAAACGGAGAGTAGGAGTAGAGGCAGAAGAAGGCAGAAGGCAGTAGAGGCAGAAGGAACTGGCAGAGAGCAGGAGGGAGAAGGCAGAGGACAGACAGCAGAGAACAGGAAGCAGAAGCAAGGGCAGAAGCTGGAGAGCATAGCCGGACAGCACAGCAAGTTGAAAAGCCTCTCGAATTGTATTCATTTCTTCACCCGATGATTCCGCGTATTCGCTCATGTCCCACGACCCCCGCGGAGGGCAGGAACCCCCACACATCTATTTAATAATACACAAGCATACTCCTTTATTACACCCTTGGCTTGATTTTGTTTCATAGAGATTGCCTTGTATTTTCATTTTCTTACAAACTGAAGGTCTGTGGCTGCTCCGTGTTAACTCTATCGGTACCACATTTTCACCAGCATATGCTCACTTTATGTCTCTGTGTCACATTTTGGTAAGTCTCACAATATTTTCAACTTTTTAAATTACTATTACAAACTTAATAGACTACAGTGAATTATAAACATAACTTTTATATGTACTGGGACACGAAAATTTTTACGTGGCTTGTTTTACTGCGATATTCACTGGACCAAACTTGCAGTATCTTCAAGGTATAGCTGTAGAAGTTAAAATTCCCAATGCAATGTTTCTTAAAAGTAATTTTACACAGGTCTAACTGTTCCTAATAATACTTAATAATACGATCATGGTATCAATATAATGGTAAGTATATGAGTGTCCTAAAGATATTTATTTTTCATGTATATGTGTATACTTTTATCCACCAATAACACGTCAGATTAAATTTCTTATCCACTGTCAAAATTACAATATACAAAATGAATTCTCTACAAAATGGAATGATCAGCAACTGCATGTTATATTAATATGTGTATTGGTGTTTACCTTGAGATCTCTAGTATGTCGATCAACAATTTGTTGGACGTTGAGATTTGCCTCTTTCTGAGAAGTTGCCGAAAGAATACGTTCTTCAGCTGCTACTGTCATCTCTGTCCGAAGTTCTAAAAGTGCTCGACTAAGTGCCTAAAAATTGCAACATTTATGTTTTTAGAAAAAAATTTTTTTTTGAAAAATTGCTATTTTATGAGGACTGTACAATACAAAAATAAGTAAGCTTTATACTTTAGACTATTTCCTTAGCTACATTGTTTAATTAAACTAATTATAAAATTAATAATCCAGTATTGTCAACTAAATTTCTTTTAATAATTAAGGTTGATTTTTTCCAGATTGCCTGTGAGAATTCAAAATCTTGACAATAATTATTTTGAGAATCCAGGATTACATAAAAAATTGTCAAATATTCAACTTCAGATGTTTACATAAATCCTTCCATTTGAGTAATCAAGAAAAGTTACAGGATTCAGAAGGCATACAATTTGTCATTAATTTCATAAAATAATATGTAAAAAAGCACCTTCTAAAATAATTTGAGCATGTAAGGTTGACATCAATGAAGAACTCTTATAATATAAATTAGATCACCACTGGTTACTTTCTTCAGGACCATCTCTGACTCATTTCTTTATTCTTTCTCTTGTAGTCAGGTGCCTTAGAATCGGCTCCAACACATGACCACCTAATACACAGCAGAATAAAATGTTTGCTAATTCTGTTTCATCCCCATGATCATTTACAGACTGGATAGACCACTGTGATCTATTTGGTTTTCAGTGGCTGATTTTCAGAAGTAGATTGACAAGCTTTTGTTCCTGATCTGTCTTAGTCTGGGAATTTAACTTGCAAGACTCCACTGACAAACAGGTGGAAGCTGCATATGAAGTGCACTGACCAGGAACTGAATCTGTCTTTTCTGGATTGTTGTTGCTAAGTGCCACCAAGTCGGTTCCGACCCACAGCAACCTTGTATAGGGTTTCCAAGGAGCGACTGGTGAGCTTGAGCCACTGACCTTGCAGTTCAAACAGCTCTGCAGTCCGGCGCATTAACCCACAGCACCACACCAGGACTCCATTATTCTGCACAGTAGGCATGAATTCTTCAATTCTTCACCACCACTGTGGTAGTGGTGGTGGTAGTGTACCATTGAGTTGGTTCCGACTCTCAAAAAGCCTTTATGGGGTTTCTGAGGTAGTAAATCTTTAGGGGAGCAGAAACCCTACTCTTTCTCCTGCAGAGCTGCTGGTAGATTCAAACTGCTAACCTTGCAGTTAGAGCCCAAGATGAAATCACTATGCTACTAGGGCTCCTTAACCACTAACGTAATACCTTCTTAATTCCCCAAATTTTCAACATAGTATATCACCAGTTAATTACAGTTTAAAATCCCAGTAGAAAGGGGGAGAAAACAACACAATTAAGACTTCTCTGCATTTGCTACAGATAACCCACAAATCAGATGAAGGACAAACACACGAAAACATCAACTGGACTACATGTGAATTTATAAAAAACAATCAATAAATAATACTGTATTATCTGGAAAGAGCCTGTTTAATAGCATTTTTTTTAAAAAACTCACATTATTGCTATCTTTTACAAACTTACAAATATTATTTAAAAGTTATTGTTGTATGACCTCAAATCAATGCGAACTCATAGCTGCCCTATAGGGCAGAACAGAAATGCTCCACAGGGTTCCTTAGACTGTAACATTTATGGGCACACATCAACACGTCTTTTCTCTCACAGAGCTACTTGTGGGTTTGAACTGCCAACCTTCTAGTTAGCAGCCAGAGTTAAAGCACTGCACCACCAGGGCCCCTTATAAAAGAAATCTACCACAGTTATATCAAATATATTTGTCTGTTACTTACTTTCTGTTGCTTCTCTTTCAAGGCTAACTGACCCTTCAGTCGTTCTACAAGATTTCTCATTGTAGTTGTGGGAGCTCTAGAATTTGCTTCCTTTTGAACCTGAATTTCAGACTTTAAACTCTGTGACTCCTTTTGTGATTGGGCCAGCTGACACCTTAAATCTTCTAGTTCTGCTTTCACTTTTTTGACTTCATCTGCATGGTTTTCTTGGAGTCTAATACAAGTAAACAAATGTATCAAATGGTTAGTTCAATCTTTTTTGACGGATAAAAATTTTACAAAGAACAAATATTCAGTCCTAAGTATCCTTACAGCCTAAATCTTCCTGTAGACATCAAATCCCCCCCACAAAAAACAGAACAAGTTTTTATTCTACTTCTCTTAAGCTTAGCATAAAATAGATTCTTTTTCTCCTAGTTTTTGTTTGTCTAATATTTTTGACAAATGCATTGTGTGTTACACTGTGGTGCTAATGAAACACTACAGAGAATGAACAAAATTGCATTGTAAGTAGTATTGTTCCAGTAGGATGTTACTTCTTCATCTCCATAAAGGTGTCTCAACCATGGCATTACCAACATTTCTGACAAAAATAATTCTTTCTTGTTAGAAGCTGTCCTATGCATTTTAGGATATATTACAGCATCCCTAGTCTTTATCCACTAGGTTCCAGTGTTGCTGTTGTTGTCAAAGTGTTGTTTAGTCAGTTCCTACTTATAGCAACCCTGTATAACATTTTCAAGTGTCGGCAGGTGGGTTTGAACTGTCGACCTTGTGGATAAAAGTCCATTGCTTAGTCTAAAGCACCAGACCAGGACTCTAAAACTTTACTGTCCATTTAGCAAGCAATGACATGGCATTTCTTATATGCCAGGTAAATATTTACTTATTTGCTTGTGGCCTTATATTTACTTATTACATCTTTATAGCAGTTCTATGAGTTGGGTATCATTGTCATTAGCCATATTTTAAGATGAGGAAACTGAAGAATAGAGAGATTAAGTAATTTGATTAAGATCATATAATAAGGGATGGGATTTGAGCCCAGGTACACTGGCTTCAGGGTCTGTATGCTTGATCTCCTGTGTTCAGGACAATGAAAAGAGTTTCCAGACATTGTCAATTGTCTCCTTGGAGGCAAAAATTACCCCTAGTCAAGAATCATTACTCTATATTAACATATTGTAAAGACAGAACATAAACTTTCACAGAAATCACATGTATTATAAATTTATGATTCCAAAGTCAATATTACTATGTTAATATTAATAGAGAGAAAATGAGAAAGTAATGGATACTATAAATATTTATTCAATTAGTCACACTGCCTATTGGGCATTTTTAAGACTGATAATGTGAACTACATCTAGACAGTAGATCAAGACAATCATCAATATGAAGATTCAAATTAATAAACATTGACTAATAAGGAAAAAACTGTGTTAAGTTATGCACAAATGTTAAACTTTGTGGGCTTGTTATTTAAACTAAAAACTGAAGACTAACTTTAAATAATCATTAGAATGAGAAAATAATCAGTCTCCTAAAATACATTAAATTACGTACATCAATGTGATTACAGAGAATAATAATATAATTTTAAGGGTTAAATAGCATAGTAAGTTATTTTAAAAAACCACGTTAAGTATTTCATAGGGTAAAAAGTAGTATTTATAATTTCAAAAGATGATTACTTTATACAGCTAGGAATTAGATTAAAAAGTGCAAGTAAATTCATATCCAAAAACATGACAGGAAACCTAATATACCAAAAACAGGAGCTCATGAAAGAAACTTAATATAGAAGAGAAAAAAGATAAACCATAACATGCTACTCCCAAAGCAGTTTTATTTCAGGGGCTAAATTATAAGGCAAAAATTGTGATACTTTTGTCAGAACCATCTTGAAAATGAGTAAAGAATCAAAGGAGTAATACGGTTTTTCAGTGTTGGGATGGATATCTAGGTTAAGTAGTTGAACTACATCATTTTTCTGATAAACTGAGGCCCAAATAGTTCTGTTGCTGTTGTTTTTAGTTGCCATAGAGTTGGTTATGACTCATAGTGACCCTGTAATGGGTTCCAAGGAGTGACTATTGAATTTGAACCACTGATCTCTCGTTCAAACCAACCTTGCGCTGCAGTGCATTATCCTGCAGTGCCACATGAGTACTCCAGATAGTTCTAGAATGATTAAGAAATGATTTAAAAATGAGCTTGGGTTGAGAGACATTTAGAATCTCTAGTATAATAAATGCTGTTGAACATTCAACAGTGATTAGGTAAATAGCAAAAAAAAAAAAAATAGCTAAGTTTTCACTAATGAATATTTACTGAGTTTCTTATGCTTCGCTATTTTAGTTGTATGAGTTATACAAATAAACAAACATTTTATATTTATATGTTACTTTATAATTTTCAAATTGTATACATCGGCAGAACAATTTAGTTTTCACCTGTCCACCCTCCTAGAACCAGGGAAAGTATTGTTATTTCCACTTTATATATGAGGAAACTGAAACTCAAAATGGTTAAGAACCAGATTCAAGACAAAAATTTGTCTCTTCTTCCAGCAAATTGACTAGATTCAAATGTGGTTCTCCCACCTCCTGCTGAACAAACCATTTAGTCTTTTGGGGGCTGAGTTTCATATCTGAGTAATGAGGAAAATAATAACTTATGTTACAAGTTGTTATGAGGATACGAAGAGGCAATAAACATAAAGTGCTTAGACTAGTGTCTGGCAAAGCAAACACATGTATCTTTATTATATCATCATTACTATATGTCTATTTCTATAACAATACACTTCTTAGACTTACTTTAATTTGATATTTTCAAATTCCTTGATTTTTAGTGCAGTGATTTCTTTTTGATTCTCTAAATCTTGCGATACTTTCTTCAGTTTGATCAAAAGTGAGGCGAGAGAGTCATCCTGTTCTGCTACTGTTTGTTCCATCTCAGCCAGACGAATAAAATGCTTATTGGTGGGAACTGAAGTAGGAGGATGTTTCATTAAATCCTATGAAATAAGAATATGTTAGCCATGGATATGTAGGACTCAATACCATTCATACTTACTGTATGTATATTTTAATTTGGCTCCTCAAGTGATTAAAATATAGTTGTTGGTGTTAAGTGCCACAGAGTCAAGTCCAACCCATAGCGACCCTGTATAGGGTTTTCGAGGAGTGGTTGGTGAGCTTGAACTGCCAACCTTGCGGATCAAACTACCTATGCAGTCTAGTGCATTAGCCCACATGCCACACAAGGATGTAGAACTTGAAAATAAAGATTGAGGTCAGGTCAAAAGCTTTGAGTACACTGCTATGATGTCTCAAAATAATTCTGCAGACAATAATGAGCTAATGACGGACTAGGGCATAAGGAAAGGAATAATTAAAGCTATGATTTCAGATTATTGTGGTAAAAAATAGTAGAGTGACTTTTAGTGTGAATAAAATAAAAAGAGCTAAATTTTACATTGTTGTTATTATTAAGTGCCATCGAGTCGATTCTGGCCCATAGCAACCCTGTATAAGGTTTCCAAGGAGCAGCTAGTGAGCTTGAACCACGAACCTTGCAGTTCAAATGACTTTGCAGTCTGATGCGTTAGCCCACAGCACCACACCAGGACTCCATATGTCCCCAAAATTAAGAAAGATTACAGAGACTGTAGGAATATCCAAGATACTCCCTTAGATTAGAAATGAAACTTTCAGCCAAATGATAGATTTGCCTAAAAGTCAAAGAGTGTATCTGTGAGGAATCAGAGAACAATCAACTAAAATAGACCAAATGGATAGCATTTGCCAAAAACAAAGATGAGACAGCAATGAGAGGCAGGGAAATTGGAGGATGGAAACAGAAAGGCAGGGTGAAAGTAGGAGCATACCAACACATTGCAGGGATAGCAACCATTGCCACTGATCAAGTGAAACCCCTCTAATTTGTTCTGGAATTGGACAATAGCATATTTTAAATTAACATTTTTGTTTAATTTCCATTGAAATCTGTAATGGAAAATATCAATTTAAAGAATATATTGCTGAATGGGAAACTAACTTTCTAAATAAACTTTTACCTAAAACACAATAAAATGTTTTTTAAAAATTTCAATAAAAAACAGAACAAAGTTCTTAGACCTTACCCAAGCTGTTTGTTTGAATTTACTTAGTGAATCATCAGCCTGTAGTTCTAATTTATGATGAAGTATATGAAGGTCTTCCTCATGTTTCTTAACAATTTCTCTTTGTTCCTGTTTTACAACAAATCAAAGTTATATCTTAAACCACAAGTCAAATGAGTTAACATTTAAAAGATCTTATATATTTCCTTATCTTTAATCTTTAAAATGAGATTGGAAAAGTACAATATAGTATCTCTCTATCTACATTTAGACTCCCGTGAATCTCTCTTGTACATATTCAAGTTTCTAAGTTTAGCTTTAGATCCTAATTTATTCTTAATGTCAGAATAATATACACCAATCACTTTTTAACTTGAGTTAATTAGAAAAAGTTTTAAATGCTAAATTCCATCTCTACCCCTGAAAAGTTCCAGCAAATATTTCTGCTGACAACCAGCAGTATGACAAGAGTTCATTTTAACTTACTATCTCAATCCTCAAACCCACAAACTTAATTGTTACTTTCCAAAATCATACGTAGGGTCTCACCCTTGCAGCTATTTCTGATTTAGTCCTTAAAGGAAAGAGGCACATATAAAAACTGTCAGTTTTAATGGAAAATCTACAATCTAATCATGCAAAAGTAACAATTCCTAAATAGAATCATTTGAAAGCATGACATAAACTACCATTTCAGGGCAGTGTAATAGTTGGCCCTTAACTAAAACAAATGGCAATAAATAAGCAGCATAACATAACGTAATCAAATACCTCTCTGGCTTTTTCTAGGAGATGCTGATACTTCTTTAATACTTCCTCCTTTTGATTTAACCTTGCTTGCATGTTTGCAATGGTTTGATGAGCAATTTGTATTGTGTGATGAGACTGTGCTTCCATCTCTTTTCTGCCTAGCTCAGCAGTAAGCTTTTCTCGTTCTGTAGTGGCAGGCAATCGAAGTCTCAATTCATTGATTACTTTGTCTCTTGAAAGGATATTTTGCTCTGCTAAACACAAAGCAGACTCTTTTTCTTTTAGCTTCTGTAAAGATCAAATTACTATTATTAAAGTATATATTTTTTTTCTTTAAAAATACTTGATCTGAATTTTAATGACATTGATTTGAAGCAAAGTCACAAGTTTTCAATTTATTATTTACATCATACTTCTAATACTCATCCAATATTAAATAAGGTTACATTTATTATATTTCTGTGTAACACCACACTTAGACTAATTTGCATGTATACTTTACTTGGTAATAGGAATATCACAGCTTAGAAATGTCCTTAAGATAAAGATGAAATTTAATTAAGGCACTCTGTGGTTTTAGAACTAGAAATGTGTGGCTAGATTTAGAAAGGAGATTTAATAAATCATTCCTTTTCCTTAGGTCCACTGGCTCTCAGATCACTTGAAAACTAACCCATAAAAGTCCGCTGAGTATAGCAATTGATACATTAGTGGCCAGAGCCAACAAATCCTTATGATAACATTTGCAGTTTACATGAAAACAAAACAGAGAAAGGCTGTTTACTCTTCAGTAGGATTAAGGCAGATATTTTAAATTAAGTAGCTCATTGACAACTCACATAAGTAACCAATAATTACTGAAGAAAATCTTAGTTTCTTTAATTAATTTTAAGAATACAATTTTACTTGCAAAATTATTTTAAAATACCTTTACGGTTAATATAGTTTGATGGAAAGTACAATGAAGAGCATACTCAATTTATGATACTTTCCAAATAGAGAAGATAGGTTTGATTTGATCACCTTGTAAGCAATTTCAAGACCTAGGTTAAACTGGTAAGTAATTTGTAATTTACCTTCAAACCCTTTTACTGCCCACAAAAATGAATGACCTCAAAATTGATCTTGAGTGTAGTGCACAACATGAACTTCAAAATATAAAGCAAACAAGAATAAAAAGAATCCATTCTTGATCATACAGGAGGTCACCTATATTGTTCAACCAAACGGCCTTTTTATTTCCTTTCATGATCAGCATTACTTATCAATTAGCCCAAAAATGACAAGTAGTGACTGAATGGCTAATGAGTTAAAAATAGCCGTATCTGCTATTACTTATTGCATACTGTTGTTATTAAGTGCCAACTTATAACTGACTCATAGTGACCCTGTATAGGGTTTCTGAGGTGTGGCTGGTGAGCTTGAACCACCAATCTTGCAGTCCAGTGCATTAACCCTGAGTGCCACACAAGGACTCTAGTTGTATTATTAGAAACCCCAAACCCACCACCATCAAGCCACTTCCACTCAGTGACTCTATATAAGGTTACCAAGATTGTAAATCTTTACAGGAACAGAAAGCCTCATCTTTTCCTGTAGAACAACTGGTAGATATGAACTGCAGACCTTATGGTTAACAGTCAAATGCTTACCCTACAGCACTACCAAGGCTCCATTACAGGAGGGAAGAAAAGGAGACAGGAATTAACAACAGATATTACTTATCACTCTATGCTCTGCCCTTGTTATTATGTAGTATTTAGAAATTACACAAACATGCCCAGTAATACTCTACTTAGAATGCAAATTTATGAGATTACCTCTTCAAATGATTTGCAAGTTGCCTGCGTTTCTAGGATTATCCGAACATTCTCCTTAATTTTTCTCAGGGCGATCTCAAGTTGATTTGGAAGGGGCAAACTAGGGTCTGGCATTGATCCTGTAGCCTCTTCAAACTGTTAGGAATTAAGAGACTTTTTTTTAAAAGCAGTTGTGGCACTGAGAAGAACAACACTAATTTTATAACTACAACAAAATATAGGTTACTTCTACTTATTTTTTAAATATAAAAAGGCTTCAATTAAAATTATGCCTGACTTCAGATAATACTTCTATGAGTTAATGTCTTAGGTCGTGCTACAGAACTACAGAATCATTCGTGCCTTTTGTGCTGCAGTTAGTATTTCATTTTGCTGACGGTCAAAGATATCTAGTTGACGTTCCAGCTCAACTTCTCTTTGATCCCAGGCCATTTGTCTTTCTTCATGAAACTGAAAAAAGACAAAATATGTCAAATACATATACGCAAACACACATCAAGTACATAACGGGGACTTTGTACACACATATGAGGAAAAAAGACAAAATATGTCAAATACATATACGCAAACACACATCAAGTACATAACGGGGACTTTGTACACACATATGAGGGTGAGTCTAAAATTACCCGCATTCTGGCTATATTAAAATGCCCCTCTATGTCCAATGACAACATTGAGCATCATGTGAAGTGATTTTATCAAACAGACGAGTGACAGTTTATTATGCAGCAAATCAGCCATGGTTCTGCCTATGAAATAATCCATGACTGATGTGGGTTTCAAGAAATTTGTGCAAAGTGGTTACTGAAACAACTCACAGAAGAGCATAAACAGAACCATTTGGACATCTGCAAACAAAATTTGGACCGATACTCAAAGGAAGGTAAATTTCTTTAGAAAAATTGTTACTAGTGATGAGACATGGATTCATCATTATGAACCTGAGAGCAAAAGGCAGAGCATGGAATGCAAACAGCCTCAATCACCCACCAAGAAAAAGTTCAAAAGTTAACCATCAGCTGGAAAATTGATGCTTATAGTTTTCTGGGATTCTCAAGGGCCAGTCAGTATTGGAACACTCTCAGGTAAAAGGTTCAACAATCAACAGTGATCATTACAGTAAGTTGCTCACTGAAGAGCTGAAGCTTAAACTTCAGATTAAACAGAGAGGACTGCTATCCAAGGGTGTTCTAATCTTGTAAGACAATGAACGTCTACACTCCTCTGCTCACATTATTCACACTGCCGAAACTTTGTTTTGAGATGTTAAAGCATCCCCTCTATAGTCCTGATCTGGCTCCATCAGATTTTCACCTGTTTGGTCGTCTGACAGCAGTCCTTCAAGGACAAAGATTCACCTCTTGTGATGAAGTGAACACAGTGGTGCATTCATGGCTCGAAGCTCTGCTTAAAACATTTTTAAATAAGGGTATATGAAAGCTTGTCAACAAATGGATAAAGTATTGAAAAGCAAGGAGATTATTTCAAAAAATGATGCATTTGTCTTTTCTGAAAATTGATTAAAATAAATTCTACAGCCAGAGTGTGGATAATTTTTGATTTACCTTCATATTTTTATAAACTCTTCATAACAGTCTTTGGAGGTCACTATTTTTCTCATTTTATGTAAAAAGAAAGTCACTTGTGTAAAATTAGAAGTAGACATATGTGAAATCTAAATTCCAATCCACCCATCCATCAATGCATCCATCCATCCATTCATTCATCCACCCAGCTATCTATGATAAAAAATGGATACCTTGAGATGAGCAGTAGCATATGGGAACTAAAGGAAGTCAGGAAATGTCTACTGCAGGAATCTTGATGGTAGGATGTACTATTGTATATGGGTAGTTGCAGTCCTGGTGTGGTGCTGTGGGTTAATGTACTGAATTGGAAAGTTGGTTTGAACTACAAGGTCAGCGGTTCAAGCTTAACAAGTGTTCCTAGGAAACCCTATACAGGCTCGTGGTGGGTCAGAACTGACTCAACGGCACTTAACAACAACAATGGGGTAGTTGGTCCAGACTGTCCTAATAAAGACATTTGAGTAAACAATACAGAGATCTGGAGTAAGAACAATCTAGGGACAGGAAACAACAAAATCTCTAATGCAAGTATATGCTTGATGAATTTCTTCTGCCTCTGAAGTGCACATGCTTTTTTCTACATCAAACTGTCTTTTCATAATCCACGAGTTAAAATAACTCTGGGATTAAAAATCAACATATGAATATGTGTAACTAAAAGGGGGAATAGTTCATCTTTCATTTCAGGAACAGATGACTCCAGAACCATCAAGAAAAAAAGACATGAGTAGAGTCTGAGATTTTTACCTAGGAAAGCAGTGATGTCAGAGATGTTGGCAGAATCAGTGACATGGAGAGACAGAACAGCTATGAGCTTTAAGGCTATGTGCCTATGGGCAAGGAGGCTGGATTGCAGAAGTGCCCTTTGGACATTTAAATGAATATGTTTTTGCTTCATATGCATACATAAAAGATTTTTTCTTTGTTCATTTATAATATATAAGATGTAAATGGGGAGCCATGGGAGAGAGTAGGATAACTATTGTTCCAGGGAGGGGATTGCAATCACAGAGATGAAACAAAGTGTATAATTTGTTGAATATAAAGCTGATGATCCTGCCGGCAAACTCTCACTCAAGTCATAATAAACCGTTGAAAAAAAGTCCAATATATGAAATAAATTTGCTTATGTAGATTTCTTATTAGCAAATCACTATTACAATTAAATAAACATATTTGGGGTAGTTTAGAAAACAGAATATTTTATAACACAATGTTGTTAAGTGCTGTCCAGTTGGTTCCAACTCATAGCAATCCTGTCTAGGGTTTCCATGGAGCAGCTGGTGGGTTTGAAACACCAACCTTGCAGTTAGCAGTCCAGTGCTTATCCTACAGCATCACACCAAGCTTATTATAACTCAACTGTGGGAGCTAAATTCAATTATGAGAAAAATACAGTCACTCAAGCAAAGTTCATGTTTTAAATTTTAACCAAAAAGCACCATGATAAATATAAAATGAAACCTTGTTTTGTTGTACAATTTCTTCTTCTAGATTATTGATTGTATGCTCATATTCAGAAATTATGTTATTCAAGTATTTTATTTCTTCTTTATCCTTGACTAATTCTCGATTTAACTTAAGCTCTTGAAGCCGAAGTTCTTCTATTTTCATATGCCAATTGATTACCTAAAGATTTAAAAATGATATATATATAAAATAAATGCTATGTAAATAACTAATCATTGACTCAAATGATTTTAATTAAAAATTAATGAGCACTTTTCTATCTTAAAATAATGTAAAACTGTCTTTTGTTGAGCCACTTCACAAAGCATATTTAGAACTATCAAAGACTCTTTGCTAAGAATATTTGTGATCTCAAAAAAAACATTCCTCAAATTTACACTGGAATGAACATCACTCTTACTTGCAGTTTTCATTTACTTTCACATATTTATTAAGCACTTACTCAATCTACTGCACAAAGTACTGCAACATTAGTTTTACTTTTTAAAAAATGGAAATTTTAAATATTTCTAGATTAGAGTATAAGATTCAGCTGCTAGACAATTTTATTTCATTTAATTATTATCAAGTGGGAGGGGAAAATGAATATATTTTTAAAACGTAGATTTACTACTTATTAAAAATTCTTAATAGCTACTCATTCTGAGGAGATTTTAAGTTATCACTACAATGACTAAAAATAATTATAATTGTTGTTAAGTGCCATTGAGTCAGTTCCAACTCATAGGGACCCTTTATAGGGTTTCAGAGGTGTGACTGGTAGGTTTGAATGACTAGCCTTGAGGTTAGCATTCCAGTGCTTATCCTACAGTACCACACCAGGACTCCAAGTACTTCATTAATATATATATGTATATTTCTAATGCTTAGAGTTTTTTCATCTTATATAAAATGTAAGCATTTTTACTAAAATTTTTGTTTGGAAAAATCCTTAATAAACAAATGAACAGTCAAGAGGCAAAATTCTTAATAAATAAAGTCAAAATTAATAAATTATAACTTGGTCATATATTCATCATTTTTTGTATAGGCACATGTTGAAAGAAGAGCTTAACATTATTTTGTAACTTCTGGATACTGATTTTGAGTTAACCAATATCTTACCTTTTGGGCTCCCCTGGAATCCTTTAAAGTGCTTATTAACTCTTCTAGGCCCTTTAATTTTAATTCCAACTCCAATGTTTTGTTCTCCATATTTCTATGTTCATTTTGAAAATCTTTCATTTCCTGTAGTATCTTAAGTTTGTCATTTTGCAGTTGAATCATTGTTTTGGAGAACTTTTCCTGCTGGACCAAGGGTAAGGCTCCACTGAACTGCCTTCGCAGAGACTGAATTGTTTGGCGCAGATGTTTTGCTCTGTTTCTTCCCTCCAGGCGAGCGTAATAGAGAGTCTGTTCTTTTTCATCAAGTTTTTGCTCTAAGCGCAAATTATGAGCCTCCATTTTCTGCAATTTAGATGTAATTGACTCCAACTTACCAAGAGAAGTAGCCTCACTAATTTGAAGAGAGACAATATGTTGGTGCAACTTGGCAATTAGTGCCTTTTCATCAGATTGTGCCTAATGTTAAAAAATACATACATTTGTAGTAAGTTTCAAATTTTTCCAATTAAAGTTATCATGGATTTAAAATCACAATTACTAAAGAAAAAATGAAAAAAGGGTATCATAGAGCCTATAGTAATCTAGCTTTACTTTATAAATAATTACCAAAGAATCAAACTTAATAATTTTGATTAATTTTGATTTTGTAATTAATTACAAGACTTAAAACATGTTTAAAATTCAGATGTAGCATCTAACTGAAAGCTGGACTATTGCTCTAATTTTTAACTTGCATATGCAAATAACAATATCAGTATCATACTGATGCATATAATGTAATGGTTATTGTTTTTTAATCCTAAAAACATATATGTAAACATGTGAAAACTACTTATAGATATAAGAAACAATATTGTTATGAATAACTACTATTCATCAGGGTCTTAACTGCGATCAAGGGTAAGCACGGTGAGGCTATATGCGCTTAGACATTTTTCTGGATTATGGATGGTACTGCAAGCTAAAATTTTTTTGAATCCAGTTCCAACCTACAAGAATAAGATCACTTAGTTGGCATATTTTCTGATAAAGCTAAAATCATTTCAATATATAATGTGAATTTAGGGAAAATACAGACTATCAATAGAAGTACCAATCCTGTACATACCTGATAGTCTAACAACTGCATTCTGAGAGACTGGACTTCCTTTTCCCTGGACTGTTGTTGCGCATTCAGAATTTCAACTTGCCTTTTGGCAATATCAGATATCTCTCTCAGTCTATAAAATGATAAAATATTTCAGGAACAATTCAGTATATTTTCTAAATGAATATCAAAATTTCAAATTTCCAGATCATCAAAAGTCAGTGGTTTCTATCATCTCTTTGTAGACTATACTAAAGAAGGTTTCCAAAGGTTTCATTAAAACAGAATTCCATGAGAAATAACATGTGTTTTGTGAAAAATGTCAACCCTAATATCCCATTCCCCCTTGAAAATTCAAACTGTTATTTTTTCTTGTTGTTGTCTGTCATCGAGTTGGATCCAACTAACAGTGACTCTGTACAAGGTTTCTGAGGCTATAAATCTCGACAGGCACAGAAAACCTCATCTTCCACAGGCTTAAAAGTCCATAACACATAGTATTTATATTAAATGTATTAAAGTAAAGAATTATGTTAAACTGGACTTAAATGTATCATTTTCCAAATGTATATAGTCAAAGACCCTTTTTGCCATGTATTTTTCATTTGGTGTTGTTCCATGAAATGCTACCATAGTTTGGGATCTATTACAACAAGCTAATAAATAGGTTAATCTGATGAAACTACTAAATACACAAAAATTTTATTATCTAGATGAATTAATACATGTTTTGATTTATTTTGTTATCAGAAATATAAACTTCACTAGGATTTACTAGGATTATAGAATAAGGAGGAGCTTGATGGTAATAAATTCCTCAATTTCCCATAAAATTATTATGATACAAGCAAAGTAAAATGTAAAGTTTCTTTGCTTTGGGCTGAAACAATTTTAGCTCAGTGTGACTGATAAATCAGTTGTTCATATAGTGATCCTGAGTTCTCATTCCAGTTATATACATCTTTCACTAATAAAAGAGGACACGATGTTTAGAAAGTATTTCAAAAGATAAATTCTATGAGGATAAAAAAATAAAAAAGCAATTATTCTTAATGAAAAAGGCTGGGAATAAATGATATTCCAAAAAAGATGACTATAACTTTATGGGTAAGACATAGAAAACACTCTTTTACTAATTATTTGTACTTGACAGACTGACTGCAGTCCTCCTCAATTTTTTCTATTAAAGTAGTAGCTAACTCTTAGAGGACAGAGAAGAACTGCCCAAAAGGATTTCCGAGATTGTAGCGTAGTGGTTACGAATCGGGCTGCAAACCTTAAGGTCAGCAGTTCAAAATTACCAGCTGTTCCACAGGTGAAATATGAGGCTTTCTGCCTACAGGGTCACTATGAGTTGCACCCAATTGCACGGCACATAACAACAACAACAATCTTCACAGGTACAAATTGCCAGGTCATTTCTTCTGCAGAGCAGCGAGTAGGCTTGAACCACAATATTATCCAGATTCTGAAAAACTGTGTATATCTTGAAAAATCATTTCCTCTTCAATATTGTTATTTAACCTTTTAAATATCAACCTTATTAATACTCTCTAGGAGTCTCGGTATGGTGCTGTAGAATAAGCACTGGACTGCTAACTGCAAGGTTGGTAGCTCAAACCCACCAGCAGCTTCTCAGAAACCCTGTAAGGGTCACAGTGAATCAGTACTAACTTGATGGCACTTAACAAAAACAACAATATTATTTAATTCTATTCTAACCAAAAGAAACCGGCATCAATTGATACTAAGAATATTATACTTGTGACTTAGTATTTAGGTTTCTTAAAGATAAATCTGAGCAGACATGTAATCAAATGGACAACAAAGTTTGCATGTACTTACTTTGACACTTCAACTTTGAGCTCCATTTCATTTTTCTCTAATTCTAGAATCCGTTGTCTATCAGCATCACTTACTGCTTTGCTCACACTATCAGCTAATTCATCTCTTAACATCTGTTCTACTTTCTGTGCATCCAAATTGATTTTAGTAAGCTGAGGAAAAGTAACATAAAAAAAGGTTCAGAAACATCACTTTCCCAAGGTCTTCCTTATAATTTAATATATAGGATACAACAGTCTTCTTTAGGTGCCCTGGCAGCATAGTTGTTACGTACAAGTCGGGCTGCTAACCTCAAGGTCAGCAGTTCGAAACTACCAGCCATTCTGCAGGAGAAAGATGAGGCTTTTTGCTGCCGTAAACATTTACAGCCTCGGAAACCCTGTACAGGGTCGCTACGAGTCAGAACCAACTCCATGGCACACTACCACCATCACCATCACAGTCTTCTTTACTTCACATGGTTCAGATATTAAATCAGGTGGGGAAAGAAGAGGAAGTCAGGAACCAATTTCAGAAATTCTAGCTATATTTTAATCCAGCAAAAGTACTACTTTTATTGTGAAGGGCCGCTAAGTCAGTTCTGACTCATAGCAACCTTTCACAAGGTTCAGAGCCACTGGTGGGTCTGAACCACCAACCTTGTGGATAGCAGTCCATTGCTGATCCTACAGTGCCACACCAGGACTCCAAAAGGAATAATACTAGGGGCTTCAAAAAAGTTCATAGAGAAATTCCATTATCTTTTCATTTAATTTTCTCACAAATTTTCTGAAAACCCTCATATATAAGGCAACCCATTATTTAGTAACATCTGAACTTCTGATTTTCTTAACTTGCTCAGAGTACAGTATACTCATTATATTTTACTGAAATTATACTGTATCGTCTATATGTAAATGTAAATAATTTAATAAAATCTTATCAAGATAGATTTAAAATAACGAAGATGGTATATATGCTTTGGAACACATACTATTTCTCCAGGGAAGCAAATGAAGAAATGAATATTATAAGCATTCTTTTTTATCATACATTTCTGAACTTTATGAACTATATTTACTGCCAAGAAGTTCCAATGATTGTGATCACATCAAAAAATTCTAAAACCTATTAGGCTATAAATTCCCTTAGGATAACTATTTTATTGTTATATTCCAAGTGCCTGTAAAACGCCTAGCGTGCAATGTTGTTGCTGTTGTTGTTAGGTATTCGATAAATACTTGTTAAATGAATGGATGGTAGTGGAAGACAGTTCTATTATCAAATAAATAATATCCTTTTCACAGTAAATCTAATAGTGTAAAGCAGGTGAGAAAAAACTTATTCACAGAAAACATTTGCTTTGCTTTTAAGATTTCAGATTTAAAAAATAAATCATTGATTGCATGAAATACAAACATTATATTAATGTGGTACTTCAGAGATACAAACAAACCTCTTAATAACAATAACACTAGGCCTATCAAAGCTAATTTTTCACTCTCTAATTAACATGAAAAATTACAATATCCAACCTCAGCAAATTTGGTTTCCAATTCAAAATTACGTTCTTCCATTTGTTTTAATGAAGTCCTTAAGTGTTCATACATTTTTTGAGAATGTTCAGCCCGCTGTCTTTCATTTAATTCCTTCATTTCAAGCATGGTAATTTTTTTTGAAATAGAAATGATTTCACTGTTGGTTACTGATTTCTTGGTCTTGTCCATGTTAGATTCATTTCCTATATGCAACAATACTTAAGTCAATATCATACTGCATATATCAACATCCTCATCTGATATTTCAGGTATTCTACCCTAGTGTATTGCTATAGGATAAGTACTAGAGTGCTAACCACAAGACTGACTGGTGGGTCAAACCTACCAGCTGCTCCTTGTAAAGCCTATACAGGGTCAGTATGAATCAGAACTGACTCGATAGCTGTGAACAACAACAATAAATATATAAGGACAGGGGCCCTGGTAGTATAGTGGATTACGAGCTGGCTTGCTAACTGCAAGGTCAGTAGTTTGAATCTACCAATCGCTTTGTGGAAGAAAGATCAGACTTTCTGCTCCCATAAAGACTTAAAACCTCAGAAATTCTACACAGGATTCTTCTGCCATAGAACCAACCTGATGGCACACAACCACCACCACCACCACCACCACCACACATAAGGAGGCAGTGCAGCTCCATGGAAAGCAAATAAACTTTTTGAATTATGACAGACCTAAATTCAAGACATAGCTCTATTATGCATAACTTGTATGTAATCTGTAATAATTTTTCATCAATCTAATAATTCATACAAACTATTCCTCATAAAATCTTTGAAATAACATATTAAGGACTTAGTAGAGGAAATATTGCATATAGAGATTCAAAAAAACTAATATACACACATATGTTCTTAGCTCATAGAAAACACACACATGTTCAACAGTTCATAGAAAAATTACATTTTTAAAAATTTCATTTTTCCATGAACTTTTTAAGGCACTTTCATACATGTACACATACACATATATACATGAGTATATCTATACATTTAACTGAAAGGAAATAAGCTGTATGAGAAGAGATACAGTGAAGGTACAGTACTTTGTGGATATAAATTCAGTGAAAATTCTAAAGTCTCACATATTCCAGTGATGAAAGTATAAAAACCTGAAGCCATGTGACAGAGTGATATCGCCAAATATGATCATCTCTATCCATGAGTATTATTTTGATTTTGTTAAACAGCAAAGATGTCAGTTTGAGGACTGAAGTGTGTCTGACCCAAGTCATGGTATTTTCAATTACCTCAAATGTAATGAAATTTGAACAATGAATAACGGAGACCACAGAAGAGTCTGGTGCATTGGAATTACGGTGTGAGCAAAGAATTCTGAAAGTACCATGGACTGCAAGAACAATAAACAAATATGTCTTGAAAGAAATACTGTCATAATGCTCCTTTGAAGCAAGGGTGGTGAGACCGCCTCTTGCTCTTAGGACATGTTGTCAGGAGGGATCAGATTCTGGAAAAGGACATCATGCTTGGTAAAGTGGAGGGTCAATGAAAAAGAGGGAGATAGCCAACAAAATGGACTGACATAGTAGCAGCAGCAATGGACTCAAACACAGCAACTGTGAGGATGACACAGGACCAGGTGGGGTTTTGTTCTGTTGTGCACAGAGTCACTATGAGTTCAGACTGACCCCAAGGAACCTAACAACAACAATTGGCACTGTGGCTGCAACAATGGGCTCAAGCACAGTTATAACCTTGAGGATGCTGTAGGACTAGGCAGTGGTTCTTTGTATAGCACATACTCACTAACAGTCAAAACTGACTCAACAGCAATTAACAATAACAACACAACTAATACCAAGCACATATTTTAGACTCTTTAACTGGTTGTTAAACCCTAATTTTACATATGTAGTTGTATGGTTTTTCTTTGGTTACAAAAGTCTTTGGTTAAACAAAAAGAGAACTGAAAAACCCCAATTTACCATGAGAAAGCAACACAGAGAAAGGTCATTAATCATTTGAGTACTTTTTGCTGTGCATAACAGGTATGTTCCAGAAAAAGAAAAACAAAAGGTAAAGTTAGGTTTTTTTCCCTTTTCAGAGAATCAATTAAAACTCTTATGCATAAGGGAATCAATTATTTCAATGAACTAAACAGTAAGTAACTTTGTAACATTAATAAAAAGAGCATAAAACCCATTCTCCATTCCATATTGCATTAAACCCTGATGATCAAGGGAGGCATGTCACAGGGGCAGAATGAAACACATTAGTCATCAACATACTCTTGTCTTTTGATTTTTTTCAGAGAGAAGGAAGGGCTTAAAGAGTTAAGGTAAAATGAACCAAAAAAATCTACTAGAAGTATATGCATTACTCATTTATATGTTAGTTTAAAGGGTATTTCTTTTAATAGTTAATCTCTTAATGAATTAAAATTTACATTTCTAAAATTAGCTTATCTTAGACTTCCAAATGTTAGGCCTCTGTAAACCACATATATCAGTTACCAGTTTCACTTTGAATAACTTTAAAGTCCTAGGTCTCAGAAAAACAAAAAACAAAAACCTTATCCAGAGACTAAATTATTTTAAATGATACATCACAATGACAGTGAGATAAAATAGTTCAAAATGTCATAAAGTAAGATAATCATTTGAAAAACTAAAATGGAAGGCCCTAGCAGGAACCATAAAGTTTTTATATCCTCTAACTGCTAACCGTAAACTAAGCTCTAGGTGGTGGTTCACACTCACCAGTTTCATCTCGGAAACCCTATGCAGAGTTGCTATGAGTTGAACACTATTATCATGGTTAAAATCTGAAAACTGTTATTGTTAGTGGCAGCAGCCCAGTTCTTGTTCTATAATGCCACAGTAGCACTCCCATGTAGCAGATATCAAAAATAGTTCCATGTTTCCATGATTTCATCACTTATACATATCCATGAATGTTGTTGTTAAGTGCTATCATACATAAGTCTGTTCCTCCTCACAGTGACCCTGTATAGGGTTTCTGAGGCTGTAAATCTTTGCAGGTGCTGAAAGCCTCCTGTTTCTACCATGGAGCAACTGTGGGCTTGAATCACCTATCTTGTGGGTTGCAGTCCAGTGGTTATCCTACAGAGCCACCGTGCTCCCCACTACATGAATACAGTATATAACAAAACATAATATATACCTTATTAAAGTATGCAAAACATCTAAGTACATATAAGGGATCTTCGAAAAGTTCATGAAAAAATGGAATTAAAAGATAAAAATATTTTCCCTCTAACTTTCAGAAGTACCCTCATACAAAATAGTGTAAAACATGTAATACTACTGTATTGAAAGTATTAAAAACAAAACAAAACCTATAACCATTGCCATCGACTCACTTCTGACTCATAGTGAACTATTAAGGTTTCAGAGACTAAATTGTTACGTGAGCTGACAGTCTCATCTTTTTCCTGCACCATTAATTTTATGGTTAGTCACCCAGCATTTGGAACTATGGGCAATAGAAATTCTTTTCAAATTTTCTTTGATGTTTTATGTTGAACTTTTAATCTAAAAATATCAAATGACATATAATTCTGATGTAACCTTATACATGGTGAAAGAATTCATAAGGATTTTTTAAATTTACATATTTAAAAATTATCACCAATATTATAACAAATCATTAAATGAGTCAAAATAGCTAAGTTTAGTCAAAAATTTTAATACACATTATTTCATTATATCTAAGAACAGAAAACAAAAATTGGGTAGGGATTAATACAGGAAAATATTCACTAACTGCCTGCTAAATTAAACTTCAATCTTAGAATTCATTTTTATCAAAGTATTTCCTTTTCATCTGTTTTAGAATTTTAAATGAAAAATAGTTACTTAAAGATCGTAATGATTTTACATGACTAGAGTGAAAACACTTACCTAACTTAGTTTCTTGTTCCCAGGCTTGTTCTATAGTGTGAAGTTTTTCCTTAGTAATTTCCAGTTCTTTATTTATAGACTCTATTTGTTCTTTCAGAGATACATTTTCACACTGAATAAGACAGAAACATCACTGAGACACTAAGTTACAATTCAGAGCAATACCATAGAAGTGACATTGGATGAAGTTCATGTAATAGCTCTTAAAAACTCAAATCAAGTTTTCTGTACAATTAGAAGTGCCTTCCCAAATATTAACAGCATCATAAGCTTATACTGTGGCTATAGTACTTTCATAACACAAAGCATTATTTAAAAATAGGCTCTAAGAATAGGATTACCCAAATCCTATGCATCCAAAACGGGACCCTCAACTTGTATTGTATTTACTATTAAAGCTGTATATTCATTTTGGACTGAGTACTTAGAGCTTCATAATCTTTACAAGCCAGTTCTTACTTCCCCTAGTCACACAAATAGTTAGTGATCATCCCTAGCACGCCAACAGTGATATGTGTTGAATGCTCATGGTAAAAAATAACAACACCGAACAGACACAATTCTGGCCTTCAAAGCCTTGTCATTAAGTGTCTGGGTTTATGTGTGTATGTGGCAGGGGAAGGGAGGATATAGAAGACAGCAAAAATAAACTGGAAGAAAGTAAAATAAGCATTTAAAAAGTGAAGATCTTGAAAGAAACAAGCAGTGCACTAAATTCAGAGAATAATAAAAGGACTTGTGAGGAGGCTTCAAAAAGTTGGTGGAAAAACTCCATTGTCTCTTAATCCAAATTTTCCACAAAATTTTTGAAGTTCCCTTGTGTATCTAGAAAGTGGTTACAGGTCTCTGGCAAACTCAAATGCTGTAAAGTATAAAAAAGAAGATAGGATTTGGAGTCTTAGAAGACCTGAGCATAGAATGCATGAAAGAGTGAAGAGCACTATAAACTAACTTTGGAGAGGTAATAGGGGCATATCAGACACATGTTAAGATAAGGAACTGGAATTTAATTGAGGGATGGCACTGGTTTTGACAAGGATCTTAGTAGTGAAGATGAAGAAAAGAGAACACATAAGAATTATACTCGGTGGTGGTGGTGTGCCGTGGAGTCAGTTCTGACTCATAGCAGCCCTGTATAGGGTTTCTGAGGCTGTAAATCTTTATGGGAGCATGAAGTCTCATCTTTCTCCTGTGAAAATGCTGGTAGTTTTGAACTGCTGACCTTGAGAGTAGCAGCCCGACTCATAACCACTGTGGTCCTAAAGAATTGCACTTAGGAAATAAAAATGACAAGAGAAACAAATGACTAGAGAGCAACTCTAAGGTATCTTCTCCTCTAACTGGTTAAATAATACTATCATTAACTGAAAGTGGAATGACTGACTATGAAAGAAACACAAAGTTTATTCTAAACATGCTAAATTTTAGGTGCTTGTGAAAAATGAATTGTAAACTAACTCATTCTATACAGTGGACTAAAGCTGGGAGAAAATGTCAGGCTGGACACATAAATGTGGGAGTTAGCAACATAAATATAGTTTAAGCCACCTGCTCATTTATTCTTTAATAAATAGAATGCTTCCTATGTGCCAGGTATTCAAAACACTGGACTTCAATGGCAAACAGGTTCTATTCTAGAGAACTTTTATTTTAATTGGGTAGTTGTAAAATAAGCTAAAACAATACAATGACAAGTAAAATATTGTGAAACACCAGCCTTGTGGTTAGTAATCCAGTGCTTATCCTACAGAGTCACCATGCTCCAAAAATAAAACTGGTGATAGTTAATCCTATATACTACTCATAATGACTAAGATAATTTTCTAATAAGCATTAAAAGCAATATAAAATGATGTTTTGATTTATTGACTATGTGCCAATAAATAAAGCTTTTGAGCCAATACAATTAAATTCCATCCCACTTCTATGAGATGATTTTAGACGAAATTAAGACACAATATATAGCCCAAATTTCTTAGGAGCAAAGTGAACTAATCAGGAATTCATTTTGATTACTGGAAAAGGTATGAATATCAAGTAGCAAAAAAACAATAAACATTCTGAGCCATATTTATTGACTGTTTGAATAAAACCGTGATATTCCACCCCATAGTAAAATAAGACAAGAGGATGACTTGTATAATATACCCATGTTCCAGGAAGTCATTCCTAACTCATCTACTGTCAGCCACATCCACCCCAAAGAAGAGAATCCAAAATTATGAAAACAATGTACTCTGGGAACCAGGGTAAAAAGAAAGGATAGGTACTTAATGACATGCCCTGCTAGGATTATAGAATAGGAGACTACAGTCTATGACATGCTACATTTTCTCTTTTAAGTGCCTGATGAAAAGAGGCCTGATTCACCTAAATTGAGAGAGTGGACTAAGGAAGATAAACTATATGAAGCTTTACAGAAGTCACTCTGCAACTACAGAAATATATTAAGTTTTAAATGTGTATGTGTCTCCCTTTTCAAAAACAAAATATTCAAAACAAATTTAATCAATAAATGATACCCCTTCAACTTACTTAAATAAATGTTATTATATTAAAATCTGTAAACATTTTTCCCCCCAAACACAAATATATCACTGAAGAAGAATGGCTAAAATCACAGGTTTTAGTTTAACATAAACTTACCTCCAAGTGTTCCAAGTTAGTTGCTCTTTGAACAAGCATGTTATCTTTTTGCAAGACGTCCCTGTACTTAGCTGTCAGTTCATTGTACTGTTTATTGGCCAATTCTAGTTCAGACAGAGAAACACTATTATCTAACACTTTTTGGAGAGCTGCAATCTTGAAGATGGCCATTTCCTATGCAAATAAAGATACAATGAGTTATTCTGATATTTTTTCTTCTAGCTCAGCATAAGCACTAGCCACTTTTGGGAAAAATATGGAAAACAAATTTGAAAACCCTTAAACATATAAAAATCCCCCATAAAAGAAAAAAGCACTTATAACACATAATATTCATTTATTAACTTTTTTCATATGAGAAACAATACACTTGTAAACTTAAATCATAATAAAGAAAATCTACCATGTTATTGTTAGGTGCCATCAACTCGGTATCCACTCATAGTGACCTTATGCACAAAAGAATGAAACCCTGCCCGATCCTGGGCCAACCTCACAATTGTTGTCACACTTGAGCCCATAAATGCTGCCACTTTGCCAATATATCTCGCTGGGGGTCTTCCTCTTTTTCTCTGACTCTCCACCTTAACAAACATGATATCCTTCTTTAGCGACCGGTCCCTACTGACAATATGTCCGAAGTATGAGAGATAAAGTTTGGTCATCCTAGCCTCCAAGGAGCACTCTGGCTGCACTTCTTCAAACACAGATGTGTTGGTTCTTTTGGCATCCCATGGCACTTTCAATATTCTCCTCCAACACCATA